ATGGGGTTGGCCCCGTGGCCACACTCTTGTAGCCCTCAGCAAAAATACTCCAAGCCAGAATAGTCGCAGTGGTGGTGCCGTCACCCGCAACGTCATTCGTCTTTCCAGCCACCTGCCGAATTAACCGGGCGCCGACGTCTTCAAACTGATCGTTGAATTCGATAGAACGTGCCACGGTCACTCCGTCCTTCGTGATCTTTGGCTCCCCCGTCGTCTGTCTGATGATGACATTCCGCCCCTTTGGACCAAGTGTTACCCCAACAGCGGTGGCAATGCGCTCAATGCCGTTCAACATTCGCTCCCTCGCCTCGCCACCAAACTGAATGCTCTTCCCACGGTTCCCCGCGACGCGTCTAGAGAGGCGCAGCATGACTTCGCTTCACACCTTCTTCTCCCCTTTCTTTTTAAGAAATGTTTGCGTGCGTGGGCCGTTGAATCCCTTTCAAATGCACTGATTGGCCTCCCACCCACCCACCCAAATAAAAAAAAAAATAATTTTTTTTTACATAATACAAAAAAATCAAAAAAAAAAAAAAATCAAAAAAAAAAGCAAGGAAAAAAAAAACACTGTAAGACACGAGAAGAATAATTCAGGGACAAAAAGGCACACACAAAAACTCAATCATCTCCCCAATTCAGTGCTAACCCATTTGCACCACTTCTGACTACACACGCTTTTCCACTTCAATAAACTGAAAAAGCAGAAAAAAAAGGCAAAAAAAAAAAAAAAAACTACAGTTACTGCATTGTCACCGTCACACCCTTTTATCTCATCTCGCGGCTCGTTCATTGTCTCCCCCCTTTTTTTCTTTTCTTTTTGGCTCACAAATTATGAGTGGGAGATGCGATTTAACACAGCACGCTGCCGTGAAAGATCAATCTGCAGCCGCGATGCCGCACCCAACACTGATGCAGTATCGCCATGCATAGAGACGCATCTCGCAGCCGCATTCATCGATGCCTTCGCCTTTGCATTTTTATTCAGCTCCAGTTCCCGCCGAAGTTGTTCGTGTGTGGCACCCACTTCGGCCGCACGGAGTTGCAAGTCTTCAAACCGACGCAACAATTCGTTTTTATCCGCCTCAAAGGCTTCGCGTTCTTTACGAAGCGCCTCGCGTTCTGCTGAGATCTCGTCCAAAAGACGCTTTTGCTCACACCGCATCTCTTTCACAGCCAAACGATCCTCTTCAATGGCTTCAACCTTTTCCGCGTATGCCTCCTCCCGTGCACGTAAAGACTTAAGCACTTCCATCTCATCGGTGTTTTGACGTTCCCGCAACACGGCGGCCTCTGTGCGTTCCCGAGCAATCGCCAATCGCTCTTCCTGTAGCTCAGACATGGCCTGCAGTTTTTTAGCCATAAATTCTTCGTATTGCTGCTCAAAGGCCTTGCGTTCCTGAGAAACCTCGTGAAGCATCAATTTTCGATCCCTCTCCAATTGTTGTCGCAGCGTTTCATAGTGTGACTGAGTTTCCTGACATCGTCGTCGTTCATCGCCGGCCTCCTTGGTAAAGTTTGCAAGCGAGATATCAAACTTTGCATACAAGGAGGCCACACGAGTGCGTTCTTTTTCCATCTCCTGCTTCACATACTTGAGTTCCTCCAGAACATTGTCTACAAGGGCTTTTTGTTCGCTTATTAACTGCTCCTTTTGCCGCAACACCGCCAACCTTTCGTCGTTGAGGGTTACATTCATCTTTTTTGTGGTTTCCATATCAAAATGCATCTGCTCGATAATTTTTTCCAGCTTTGCTGCATTTCCCGTATGTGACTCTAACATCTCAATTTGCCGCATGTGAATTCTGTCACTCTGCCCTGCGGATTCCGCGTGGCGTTTCTCTATGGCTGCAAGTTCCATGCGGTGCATCTCCTCCGCATGTGCGCGGTCAAGTTCAAACTGACGGCGTGTTTCCTCCAATTGTGTTTCGTATTTCCGCTTCAAATCATCCAAAAGGGTCTGAATAAGCGTGCGATCCCGCTCACGCACGTTTTTCTCCTCGCGGTCACGGCGCTCCCTTTCAATACTTTCCAGCTCGCTGCGCAACTCCTTGTCGCCTTTTAGACGCGCCTCGCGGTCCTCGAGGTCCCGCTTCCACCGCGCCTCACGCTCCTCCTCGTCTTTCAGGGATTTCTTTTCCACAAATTCGCGAAATCGGGCATCCCGTTCCTCCATTGCGCTCCAAAATTTCGCCTCACGCTCCTCACGTTCTTTGGCCTCCTTCTGCATCCGTTCCTGCCGCTCCAACTCCTCGCGGCGGTCTTTGGCCTCGCGCTCCTTGCGGTACCGCTCGTCTTTAATAAGCCTCTCCTTCTCTGACGCCACAACAGAGAGGTTTAACTCATGGAACACTTCGCGAACGTCCTGCGCAAGACGTTGAAACAAACTTTTCGCAGCTTCCTCTTGTTCCAACCGCCGCAGATGCACCGCACGCTCCCTTTCCCGAATTCGGCGGCGTTGATTTTCCGTTAACTGTCTTCGTTCCACCATGACAGCATTCGCACCATCGTCCCTGTCATCATTGGGATCCCTTGGCGCTCCCACAGACTTTGACTCCTGTTCCGCCTCTTTTGTTTTCTGCTCCTGCAAACGCTTCAACTCTTCTATCTGCGCACGCAGTTCTTCTTGCTGATTCTGAATCGTCTTCGCTGCCACCTCCTGTTGCTGCTGCCACCGCCGCACTTGTTCCTCGTGCATCTCTCGCACCTCTCGCATCTTTTCCTCCGCAATGCGCTCTAACCGCGCCTCCTCCTCCTTAATGGTGCGCTGCAACTCCCTCGTGTTATCAAACGACGGGGGTGCGGGTGCGGGAACAATGTCGTCGTCCTCAAAGTCATCCGAGTACTGTGCTCCCGCGTCATAATCCGCAACATCGTAGTCAACGGCGGAGGTCGTTACGCTTTGCGGGTCGCCCTCTCCACGTCGCACGCTTGTTCCCTTCTCCCCACCTCCACCACTTTCTAAAGCCCGGCGCTCGGCCCTTTTGCTTTTCGCTTTCTTTCGTTCTTTCTCCTTCTTTTTCACGGTTTCCTCCTTCTTCTTCTGGCTTTCGTCTTCACTACTTACAGGGGCGACATAATCGTCAAATTCGTCGTCGAAGACATTGTAAGAGAATCCCTTTTTCGGGGGAGGATTCAGACTTGGTGCACCTTTCAAGGAAGACATTTGCCGTCTCCTGCGCGCCCGCCTATGTGTATATATGATGTATGCAACTTTGTGTCTATCTATCTATATATATATATATATATATATATGTCGGCTGACCTTTTGCGAATGTATTCTAAACGCACTGTTCCTCCTTTGTACTTTCAGCCAAAAAAAATTCTTTTCTGACTGGACCGCTCAACTCAATTCTTGCAATTTTTTTTTTCTCCTTTGGTTTATTTGGCCTTTGGCGGCAAGACCCCTTTCTTCTTATGGCTGTATTGTGCGATCTACGTTGGATTTCTATGTGCACTGCAAGTTAGAGAATACAAGAGACAAGAAAAAAAAAAAGAAAAAAACGTAGAACCATACAATAATACGTGCATATGAAATCACAGGAAAGAAAAAATTTTTCTTCGGAAAAACAAGCATTTGCACATTTTTTTCCACGTGAGCAATTACTCTGTGGAAAGTTGGTCCGGAGGAAAATGACTAGAGACCTAAAAGGAGGGAAAAGCTTATTGATGCCAGCACAGAGCCACAGTACTCACCTTATATGTCTGGCGAACTCCTTCACGGAGCTCATCAAACCACGAAAGCTGCTACTCCACGAGGCATCGCCCGGAACAGGTATACAAAAGCGACGCTGCAGCCGCAGTACGTCTTCAGATGTCGCCACCTTCAACTCCTTTACCAAGCGAAAGCCGTAGCGATCGATCCAGCCCATGGCAACTTTGAGAAAGTCATTAACGTCACACGGTGGGTATGACTGAAGCAAAGGGAGTATCTCAGAGAGACTCGTGAGACGTAGCAGCTCATCGCGTAGGCAATTTAGCATGGCGACGGCAACAACAAGCACGACGCTGCGCAGCTCCTCCCCAAAGGAAAATAAAAAATCCCAAACTCGGAATACATCCGGCACGTTAAACTCCTGCGTAAAAAGCAATGTCAGCCAACGAAACGCGTAAAACTCTGACTTTATTTGTTTCTTTCCTAAATGCTCCCAGAGCTCCGGTTCTAGAAATTGAAGCAACCGTTCGAAGTTACGGATGGTGCAGCTTACTCCGGTATCTTGATCATAATCCAGGCTACGACAAAAGTCATCACCAAGATACGCAAGCATGGTTTGAAAGCAGAAAAAAACCTGACTTTCTACCTGTTCGTTTACCACCTCAGAGCGTCCGGAGGCAAAGGCATACAACAAGTGCCCCACGAGTTCATTCATCCCCTGCACGTACCCAAGTCCCTTGTTGACGCCGGCAAGGGTGTGAATGATGCGCCGCAGACTTTGTTGCGTTGGCGAAAAAGTAGCGTAAACACCATTATCTGGCGGGGCGGGCTCCCCAGACTTAAAAAAGTGCATGGAAGGCATCGTGCGGGGAATGTCAAGATCCACCGCACGGTAACTGCGCTCCCCAACGACAACATCCCCCTTCTCATCCAAACGACACACAATGGAGACAATTTCGCGGTACTCCAACGCTTTTCTCTCCAGCAGCGGCGCCCAACGCGAAGTTTCAGTTGGGAGAAATCCCAACAGTAGTTTCCAAAAAAAAGCTCGTACGTTTTCTGTTGCACCGCCGCGGCACAAACCAGAAACCACCGGCAAACTAACGATAGGCCCAGCAATGGCGGCGACGTACGCGTCTGTTGCTTCGTGCGAGATGCACTGCGGGAGAAGGTCCGACACCGCCGACAGTTCCCCAATCAACGAGGGGGGCGGAAACTGCGCCATTCGCTCCAACCCGGGGAGCTCCGCTTGCTTATTTCGCTGTTTCCCTTCCTTCTTCGCACGCCGTTTTGGCGTTTGCTGGAAAATCACGGGCAGTACACGACACAACAAAAAGAATGGGCTCCACAAGAGAAAAGAGTGCAGAATAAAAAAGAAACAAAAAAAAAGGACTGACAAAACCTCCTTGCAGGCCCCACAAGTCCGCACGCAGACACAACCATACATAAATGCATACATGTGCCGGATGTGTGTGCGTGGGTCTCCCTCCGACCCGAGTGGCGCAGCACCGCTAAAAGTTGTCTTCTTTTCGCCGCTACAAAAAGAAAAAAAAATGCGTCACAAAAAAAATAAGTACGCGGAAACGCATCCTTCGACCTGCAACACATCAAAATAAACAGCGCCCATACGGACTCTGAAGTGAAGCGAAACCCCTCATACAAACCTGCAGAAGCAACAAAGAAAAAACACACACAAATACGCTCAATTCATCATCGTCATCAAATGCCAGCAGCCGAACAGAGAGTTTTTTTTTTTTTTTTTTTTTGAGCCGGAAGGAAGTGATGACGAAAGACAAAATAATGGCCCCGGTTTACTCCCCACACATTTCCAAATTCGCCAATAAATACATCCAAACCGCAAAAAGGGGGGAAAAAAAAACGCCTACATATTATATATATTTATCTACACCCTCTTCTCTATTTCTTCCTCTCCGCGTCCCTTTTTTTCTCCTCATTGAATATAAATGTACTCATTTTTCTTTCACTAATGCTCTTCGCTACTACTGTGTCTCATGGCATGGGGTTAATGGAATCCAGGAACGACAAGATGACACGTGTGGGGGTAACTTGTGTATCGACGATGGGATACACAAGCGCCATGCGACCGTCTGGTAGCGCAACGTACGCGCGGCGATCAACGCGGTCACATGTATTCTCATCTTCATCCGCAAGAGAACTGCGGTAGTACGACTGCCGCATGAGAATGGCGGCCGTTGCGACACCAAACATGAGTGTGGGTGCATAGTATGCCCAGCGGTGAATGCGGCTCGTGTACGTTGACGGCACAAAATACGACCAAAAGGGTCGTTTCACCGTCGCTGCCCTCACCATTTTTTTCAAATTCCCCTCCCACCCCCCTCCTTTTTTTTTTTTTGTTTCTTCTCTTCTTAGTTTGTTTTTACGACTCCTCCGTTTGATTGAATGAGTCACCACTTCCTATTTTTTTTTTGTCGGCTGCCCCCCAAAAATTGCATTCAGTGGCAAAAGGTAGGAAAAAGGGCGCGTCTTGCAACGGGAACACAGCACAGCGCACATGGAAATACAGAAAGAGGAAAAAAAAAAAAGAAAAAGAAAGGCAGTATTATTATTATTGTTTTTGTTGAGGTAGTGGGTTTTCCTTCTCGTGGCAAAAGTTTCAAAAACAACAATACCAATATATATATATATATATGCTACAAGGGAATAAGAGCCATTCTTGAAGTGCTTCACAATTTGGGATTTTCGCCCATCCCCTATTTATTCCATGAAAAACTTTAGCCAGATATTTCCTTCATACATCAAAAGCACGTAGGCGCAAATCAAAAATTAAAATATAATTACATTGGAACCGTTCTTCACACCGCCACTTGATTCCTAATTCCTCCTTGCAAAGAACAGCTTGGTTGTGTCTTTCCCCGACTCCGAGTCGCGAATAGAGTTGGAGGCACGCAGGTTCCAACCCTCCCCTTCCAAACCCTCAATAATCGTAAGGAACACAGCTGACTTGTGCAGATCGTCACAGAAATGCTGGCTGAGCTCCATGCGCCAGTGGTCAGGGTTGGGGTAGAAAAGAAACTTAACCGGATCCTTCGAAGGACTTGAAGATGTGGAAACACCTGTGGGAATGCGCTGCTCCAAAAGCTTGACGGTCTCCTCCCGCAGAGCGGATCCCAGCATGGTGATGACGGGAGGGTTGAAGGTCGCAGACACGCACAGGTTGGGCATTAGTGTGGTTTCGTGAGAGGGTCACCTCGTTTTTAGATTCCTTCTGCTGCAGTCGAAACAGCGTCAACCAAAGCAACAACAACAAAAAAAAAAAAAAAAAAAGAAGATCCAATTGGTGGACGCAAGTGCAAAACGCATGCAACCTTCAGTTAGTGAGCCTCGCTGAGGTGCCCGCCATCCTCAACCCCTCCATCACACATTGAGGTTATGCGAGATAAGGGAGCAGGCATAATTCATAAGAGAGGAAGAGAAAAAAAAATAAAAAAAAGAGAAAAAGAGAGAGAAAAGACGTTAAAGAAAAAACAAATAGAAAAAAAAAAAAAGAAGAAAAGAAAGGATATAATCCACGATACAGGGATATTTCACACACCTGAGGAAACCCAAGTGGTGGTAATAATATAATATTTGTCCACAAGCTGCGGGTTGTTACCGTTTGGGTGTGGCGTACGGGTACGGCGAGTTGGCGCGCGGTTTTGTCGTGTGGTACTCGAGCAATCCGCGCAGCGATGACTCGGAAAGAATCCGCTTGTATGCCTTCTTCCCACTTGAGAGCACGAGTGGCTCGCTAAGTTGGCCATCAGACTTATTTCTGCGGAGATATGTTTTTCCGGAACGGTGCTCGTAGAGCGGCAACTTCCGAAGAGAAGTCTCCGCCCCCAAGATTTCCCACATGACCTTCCTTCTTTGCTGTTCTCTTGCCCTCTCTAACCGCTCCGCCGCCCGTTGCTGCCTCTGCTGCATGTCCAGTTGCTTCTGCATCACATGTCGTCTTCGGCTTTCTTGCACCTCTTTCGTACGCTGTACGCAAAGCTCACGCTGTACGGATCTTCGCTCATTTATCTTCGCGGCCTGAATGGCGGCTGCCTCCCTCCTTTTTCGCTCCTCGCATAGTCGTTGCGTAAGCCGATCCGTCTCCTGCCGGCGGAAAGACATCACTTCTTCCCTCACCTGGCGCGTGATTTTGCTCTCCATGTCCTGCAGTAGCATTTGTGCCTGGATAGTTTCGTTAAAGTCATCACGTGCCTGTTGAATTTTATCACGGACAGCCCGAGATTGGTGCTGGCGAAGCAATAATTTCTTGTTTTTCTCTTGGACCTCCTGTTCCCGTGCCATGCGCGATGCTTCGCTCTTGGACCGCTTGCGTTCCAGGGCAGATTCCATCTGCTTTCGCCGCAATTCGCCTTTCTCCCGTTCACGAAGAAGACACTCATGAGCTCTGTTAAGCTTTTCTGTGTACTTCTGGTGGCATTTGCCTCCTAGTTGTTCCTCAATAACGCTATCCAAGTGGGCTCGGTGTTTAGTGACACGCTCCTTAATATAATCTTCAATCATACGGAGTTTTTCATTGTGATTATGCCGCATAGCCAAATGCAGATGCTTCTCTTCCTTATGGATAGATGAGGCAACCACTTGCACCAAAAGAATTTCCATCTGCTCCTGAAAAGAGTGCTGCAGAGAAATGTATTTTCCCCAGCACTCCTCGCTAATCCTCGAGCGAGCGGTATTTTCTTCTTCCATGAGATCCAGCAATTGGACATGGTGCAATCGACGATTTTGAAACCGGTACTTTTCATCCCCAGTGACCTTCTTCCGCTGCAGGTCAATTTTTTGTAGGAGATCCCCCCATGCTCCAGCACGCTTCTTTAACTTGTTGCCGCAGAAAAGTGTTCGTGCAAACGCCTGGATGAGAGTCACATGTCGATGGATATGCTCCTTCACCTTCATATGCATCTCAACAAGTGAGCCAGCAGCCACAAGAAATCCCTCCGGCGTCACGTGATATGTTGCACCGGCTGCACAAAGAATGGCTTCCGCGACCTTGCAGTTCTCAGTGGCATGTGTGTTCGCGGGTGGCAAAAGCATTCTGAAAGTAGAGGCGATAAAACCAACCTGACATGTAATGTAGAGATGAGGCATTTGCCTTCGCAACTCCAGAGCACAGCGCAGAGGAGTCTCCCGCAACTGCTTCTCAACAGAATCGCCATTAAATCCCGCGCCAAGTTGAACGCCCCCTATCCACCAGAACATGTTCTTGTCGTCCCGCATAACGTCAAGCAAAGGTTTCACGTGAATCATTTCCTCCCCAACGACGTGTTCCGCGGTACCATTCTCAGTCTGTGCCAATAAGTGCAGAGTTTCCTGTGTTTCCACATCCGCGTTTTCGAGGAGAAATGTACGCACGTCGGTAAATTCCGCATGGTATACGGACTTCAGCTTCGTTAGTTGATCTGTAGTGCGGGGAAACTGATACTGCCGCGCCCCAAATGAGTGTTCGATAGTAAGCATTAGTGTGGTGGCATTCAACTTTACATGAGCACTCTTCGCGCAGTTTGTCAGAGCCAATCTCATCTTTTCCTCCCCCTGCAGTGTGCGAGCCACGGAGAGAACGCCACCAAGACCGTACAGTACCTTCAGCAAGCCATAATTATCCAAGGGATTAAAAATCTCCTGTAGCTTCTCTGGGACACGAAATCCGGCGCGTTGCCACAGCATCACCTCATGATCACTTGAACAAAGAAAAGCTTGCGTCATTTCCTCATACATGGTGGCGAGGGAAATGTTCTCCAAGTCAACGGACTCTGCCGGGGGAGGGGGCGGCACAGCGACCAGTGTGATGGAGGGCGGCAGAGGCTTCGACTCCCCAGAGAATTGGAGGGCGGCATTTACTTTCTTTACCAGCTTCAACACAACGCCTCGGTAGATCAGCCGGGCGGCAGCTACACAAACTGCACGTGAAGAAAAAATAGTTATACACTCCTCAACGTCCAACTGAAAAAGACGGGCGAGGCCCCTAAGGGCGGAGAGATTTGACAAGGTGCCATCCGCGTAAAATTCCATTTCGGTGAGATGTACAACCGCCGCCACCTGCCTGAAGATTGCCTGCAGCGTGGAGGAGGAGAGGCCAAGGGTTTCCGTCGCTCGAGTGAAGCTGACGTATTCTTCCTGCAGTCGCGCCACAAGGGTAGTGTCTAGAATGCTTGTCTGACAGACAAAGCTTCGCTGCTTTTGGTTGATGTAAAGCCGTTCTCTCTCTTCGTCACTGAGTCCGTACAGAATGTATGAAAATATCTTAAAATTAAATTCATTGGTGTCACCAATGCCAGAAACAAGCAGATGGTTGCACTCAAAGCGCACATCCTGCAATTGGTGATGCGATGCTCCTTTAATGCACAACTGTGCCTGCAGGTAGCACAGATGCTTCCGTCCTATGGTGGATGTAAAGGCGGAAATGACATTCATGCCCGCCGCAATCATACTCCTCCGCACTGGCGTCACTTCAAACAGCGCACAGCACGTATCCAAAAAATATCCACAAAGACTGGGCAGCGCATGGCCACATGATACCACCACCTGGTGTTTCTGCGAGCCTTTCCACGCAAGAGCTGCCTTGAGGGCGATGTCACGTCCCGAGGGATTACTCCCAGTGAAACTGCCCTCGCCCAACAAGACAAAGAAGTTGTCACCAACACTCGTTAAGAACTCATCATTAGCGGCACGGTAGCGAATTAACTCTATGACAGGCGGCAAACCAACAAGTGGTGTCGGCGACATGAGTGCTGCATTCTTCGTATGCAAGAAGACGGAAGGTTGGTCTGACATGTGAAGTAACAACTGTGCATCACTCCCCGCGTCAGACGCCTGCGGGTTGAAAATGTCCAGCGAGGAGACCGTTTCCTCCATTGGACCGTCGCGGACAATTATATTCGCTCCGTCAAGCGACGCCGCAACGCCGACACGCCACCCATCGCTCACGCTCCGATAGAATACAACTGGCATCAAAAAGAGGTTCCTGTGTGTTACGCACCACTCTTTCCCCTTCTCTTGGTGTGTGTGCGTGTGTGTGTTGCTTCAGTCGCTTCCTTTCCGGAGGAAAAAGACGACCCAAACAAAATAAAAATAAAAATTAAAAATTAAATTAGTCGCACCGTTAGCAACAAACCCAAGAAAAGTCTTTTGCATTTGGAGTGCATGCCGGTCAGCCAATAAGAGCGTCCCACACGTTACTCCAGGGGGGCAAATAAAGGTCGCCCACTTCATTTACTGACCGCTCGCTCCATCCACTCTGTTACGCAGGAAGCCCCAGACGCGGTTCCTCAAGAGAAAATGAGGACCAACAAGAGAAAATACAAAATAAATAAAATAAACGCATGTTTATATTTTTTCTAGGAAAGAAACACACCGGCAGCCATGCCACAGAAAAACGCAATTTTGCGTTCAATAGAGCCGGCAATCACGGCAATTGCCGCACGGAATGGGCTGCTCGTTGGTTTGTATTCAGAAACACTCCACAAATCGCTTAGTAGCCGTTTCCACCGGACATCTGCGTAGCCCATCAAGTGAAGCAGCTGTGTCATAGCTAGACCGCTCACAAGAGTGCGAATAACGGAGCCGATGCCGCGTTTCAAAAGGCCCACAAGAAGGGCGCCTCCCAGCGCACTTAGAGCCACCACACTGTACTGCCTCACAATCCTTCTACGTGAGGCCGGCAACAGCGGCACCGCTGTGACTTCCAGCAATGGTGACACCTCTGCATTCACAATCTCGGTGTCGGAGTCCAACTCACTCGACTGAATAGTGCCATCCACATCACTATCATCCGAGGGGATGGAAAACTTTTTTGACGACCCCTCCGCGCTCGGGCTTTGCGAGACTGCGATGCCCTGCGACCAATCTTCGTTCCCTTCCATTGAACCCATCAGATCCGTGAAAAAAGCACGTTTTATTTGACTAAACCCCACCGAGATGCGATGCTCCGGGGGCGGGACGTCAGAGTCGATTCCGAACGTCCACCTCACGCCGGTGGATGAGGTGACATCCATAATTTCTTCTAAAAGCCAACACTTCGAGGAAAAGGGTAGGAAGACAAAAGCACCGCACCAAAAAAAAAAAAAAAAAAAAAATGAGGAGGCAGCAGCGCCAAACGTTACACACGAGGAGGGAAGGCAACAACAACAGCAAAAAGGGAAATATATATATATATATACGTCGTAAAGGGGAACGCCGCCCCACTTTTTATTTCTCATGTAGACGTTAAAAAGCACAAGACGGATGGGCGAATTTCACCCGTTAATAACTCTTGAACGTGCAACTCAAACTCACAACGCTCTGCATTGTAACAGACACCGTAAACAGCACAATCTTCTTCTACTCGCTGTCCCACCTTCACGCCAAAAAGACCTTCGTTGAGCCACGAGGTAACGTCGTACGTCCCGTCAACCGTGGGATTTAGATACCGCGCGGGATCTTCGGGTGTCAAAAGAGCAGAGCTCGTAGAAGGCCCATTGTACTCCAATTTCACTTCCCCAACAGGAATCACATGGCACCCGTTAAACATTGGCGCCAAACATGCAGCTGGTCCACCCACCGGATTCCAAAAGGGGGCGGGGCACCCAAGGGATTCATCATGCGCAACGCCTACCATCACTGCTACACCGTAGCGACATAACATCTTCGTTCCGTGCTTCATATGATGACCGAAGAGTGTACATGCCTCAGGTGTGATGTCGTAGTAACGCTTTATGGCATGTGTGCTACCGCAATGATACGGAAAAGAGAGCTGTAGGGCCTCACCATTAACACGACTACCAACTTTAAGCAGCACCTCCGTCCCTCGAAGGGATGCTAACCGTCTTCGAGAGACTGAGAGCAAATAATCTAGCACCTTCATTGCCCCGATACCACTCCCCACCGCCTCCGTCGCACAGAGAAGAACCAACTGCTCACGATCGTCAGTAGTTGACGACGGTCCCTCTGGTTCGAAACCAAACAAGTGTTTGTGACGACCCAACTCCGCCATAGACACGGGAAACGCACCAGGAAGACCCGGAACATGAACCAACACCACCTGATCGCCGTGCTCCTTGCAGGAACCAAGAAATGTCATGGGTATACCTAGGCCTTCGCCCACGTGGTACACGCATCGAAAACCCGCCGTTTCGCACGCAACACGCTGCGACAGCGGTTTGGTTTCGGATGAACCAAATATCGCCTGGCGTGCCACTTCAGCAGCAGCTACTCGCACCTCCGTAAGGCGTGCAGGTTTTCCCAAGGCGCGAAGAAGCGGAAATGCCGCACTCATCCGAAAGAGAACAAACACACAAAAAGAAAAGGGTCTACTGGCGAAGAGAAACCGCAACCAAAAAAAAAAAAAAAAAAAGAAACTTTCCTCTTGTCCCCCTTTCACTCTTTTTCCATCCTTTGATACAACTGAAGTTAAACTCAAAAAATTGAGAAGAAAAAACAACTAAACAGCCAAAACAAAACATTTAAAAGAGCGCGGCTGAGTTCCAGAAGGCACCGCAACCCAAAATGGCAATAAAGGAAAAAGGGGGGAAAAAAACCTTCCTCAATCCAGTTGGAAAAAATGGCGGCCACATGGGGAAGCACTGCAGCGCGTTGAAGAGGCACTTCCAAATCTTCACTTTGAAGACTACACGCATTGATTGCATTTTCCCCCATTTTGTTCCTCTTCCCCCTCGTTGCATCGCCAACAAATTGCAAACCCACTTTTTATTGCTTTGGAACGCCCTACTCTTTCCCTCTTTTGCGCCACAAGTAGAAAAAGAACACCAACACAAACACATACACACACAAAAAAAAAAAAAAAAAAAAAAGGTAAGTGCGCATCCAGAGGAAAGAAGCTATTCAAGAAAAAAAAAAAAAAAAAAAAAAAGAAAAGAAAACTAGAAGAGAAAAAGAAGGAGGTTTTAACTAATGTGGGCTGCACTACCCTTCCTCTCCCTCCTTTTCCCACGGAAGTACAGCTTCAAACACGGTTGTATCATCGTGGTCCCCTCCACTTGGGCTGGTTTTCAATGTTGCCTCCTCACGTCCCCCATGGGAGACGTTTTCCCGGCATTCGGAGGGGTTTCCGCTCGAGAGGGACGCGTACACCTCAAGCTTCACGCGTAGCTGGTCGTTAACATTCGCGAGCTGCGCAAAGAGTGAGCCATGATCGGGGCACAAAACACTTTCCCCCAGCTTTTCCCGCTGCAACTTTAACTCACCCATGAGACGATCAAGTTTCGCCTTGTGGTATTTGCAGCTCTCTGAGACGGAGTCTCCAAGTTCCGTGGTCTCCCGCTTCATGGTGATGTTGGTAAGCAGCTGAAGGTTACTCAGTGCCAACTCAATTTCATGCTGCACCGTTGATATTTGCTCCTCGATCCATGCCGCCATCTCCCGCCTGCAATTCAGCGTCTCCCGCAATTTTTTCCAATGTGTCGCGTTGTTTGGAACGCCAATACGCTTCTTACGCAACACACCAGTCGTGTCGACTGGCTTTGGCTCTATGGAAACGACTTCCATCACATCTAGCAACTGGCTTCCGTTGCGGCACATTCGATAGATAAAAAAGCGCCAGCAAGTGTTCACCCAATACTGTTCATCCGAGACATGGCGAGGCACCAATAAAGATCGGAACTCAATGCACTCTGTTTCCGACGTCAACCAATCCACCAACTCTTGAGACGGTTTACATTCGCTGAATTTCGGAATTTCCGGTAATTTTTCAATGGAGTCAACATTCAACAAACCGCATAACTTTGACACGAGCGACTCCTCGCCCAAAATTCTCTCGGGTGGAATGATGCAGCTGTTCTCTTCCATGAGCGCTGATTCCGCCAGAAGCGTCCATTCCTCTGCCGGCGATTCCCACTGAGACGGCGGCAGAAAAAACAGATCTTTCGTCACACGAGTAACGGCAGGGCATGGACCCTCCGATTCTTTCGAAGTGACACACTCCGCCGCGGGGACTGTCTTACATTTTACTTCAGTGGTGCCGCAATTCGTGTCGTCGTATCCCTCCTCTAACTCCAGCATGCCGGTCTGCTTCACCAGCTCATACCCCTCTTCTGTGAGCAGCTTCGCCTTCGCCGACGCGGTCTCCACCAGCGCGCTCAGTGCATCAAACATGAGTTCCCACGGACAGGCACAATCTTTTGTCCACAATACGGCCCCTGCGGCCAAAAGCACACACACACACAGAAACGAAATTCACAATCTAAAACAACAAGAAAAAGTAGAAAAAGTTATGCCACGCGTAAGAAAGCAAAAAAGGGGCAAACAATTAAATCAATTAAAGCTTCGCTTCAGCGACTATTTGTCTTTTTTTTCATTTTGAAATCTGTGGGCCGCTGTTGCTCCTGCAGCGTAACATGCAACAAAGCACAGCCCTCTCCACACTGAAATTCGATCATGACAACACCCGTTCACTGGAAGTAATGCGAATGCCACGCCACACACACACACGAAAAAAAACAACAACAAAAAAAAACAAATACACACACACAAATACATATACATATATATATCCACTGCCCGCTGCCGAGCAGAACATGACCGCCCCGAATAAGGCCTGGTCCCCTATTCCTACAAAGAGCAAAGGGCAACGCACACAACTTAGGCCAGATACCTGCTCCCAAAGAAAAAACCTGCTGCAAATGCACTCAAGTCACTAATTCCATTGCCAGCAAACTTCAGGAAGCGGTTCAGATAAAAATGAAAATCCTCTGCATCAATTTTGCCGTTGCCGTCATGATCCAGCGCCTGAGTAATCTCACTCTCCACTTTTTTCCAGTTAATCTGAATGTAACCCAAGTAGCTGAGGCTCTGAAGAGCAATGACAGCAATCCCAGCACCGTACAACGCGTCTTGCGTGAGGCGCTTAGCGGCGACACCGACTGCTGTGCCCATCAGTCCACAAACGCCAATGCCCGTTGATAATTTCCCAATAACATTCGTACTTTTGAAGAGACCGTGAGGAACGGCCTTTGCAGCATGTTTTTCCTCTTGAGTTTTCTTCTTATACATGGGTAGTTATGAATAAATGTAAATGGTGTTCTTTGCAGGTGATTAAGGCAATCTTCCTGCTTTCAACATTAGAAGCAAGTAGAAGAGTCAAACAACAGCACACACAGACACAAAAAAAGAAAAAAAGAGAGCTATATAATCATAGAGGCCAAATCAAAAGCCCAGCAGTTAGTATCACCCAGCGACACCACACACACACACAAAAAGAAAAAAAAAAAGAGCAAAAAAAATAATAATAATCAAAAAAGGCGCCCATCGATAAGGCGCGGCAAAAACGTTTCGCATAAATGTCTGCAGAAGCACGACGATTCCATAGGAATAAGAAGGAAAAGGCAACACCCGGTTTTTACACGGCAAGGAACGTAGAACGTAAAAGCTCCTCCGCTCCACTCTTATTTAACCTTACCACTGTTGGGCAACAATATGGCTCCCGAGATGGTGCCAATGCAGGCTAACTGATCTGCTGTTGAAGATACTTTAATACGATTGCCTTGGCCACCGCACTGATGTCACGGGTTGCGCCGCGAACCACAAGTCGGTCCTGCGGTGTGCGGCAAATCAGTGGAAGGTGTCGCAAGTGCTCTAGAGATAGTTTCCAATCCCCCAATAGTGCCGCAGCCCACACCCCTAGACGCTGACTGTGGTTGTCCCTCGGCAGACCTGAGGCATTCATATCCGCAAGGAGCGCCATGGCTTCCGACCAACGCCCGGAACCCACGCATACCTTTATGGTTAACCGATGTGCCAGCGGTGGCAGCACAACTCGCGGTTCCTCCTCACGTGCTCGCTGCAAAAGCATTACAGCCTCCTTCCAGCGATTAGAAGCAACGCAGGCTTGTAAAACCGCACAAACGCAAAGGGGATGTGGAGGTTGATTGGCATCGGCAAACGAATCCTGCAGTATTCTTACCGCGACATCCCACATCGCCCCCTTGGCGGAGGCAAACAAGAGGGAAAGACGTGTACGAACAGGAAGATATGAATTTTTCTCCAGAAGCATACCCCCAATACGCACCGCCGCTTCCCACTGACCTGACTGCTCACACAATTCCAGGAGTTCCTCCATTCCCGTTGCCGCAGACGCTTCATCGGCTTTGGCCATCCAAGACAGTGCAGTTAACGCCTTTTCCCACTGTTTAACTGCATGAAATGAGCGAACAAGAGTTTGATACGAGTCTCCAGCAATGTTGGACACAAATCCCTCTCTCTGGGCAATGTCATACACTTGTGTTGCCACTGACCATGCATTGGACTCCTCGCATTGGCCCAACAAAAGCCCCACCATGAACTTGTCCGGCTTAACGCCTGCAGCAACTGCCGCATTAAACACCAAAAGCGATGACTCCCAGATCGGAGAAATGGACATGACATCTTTAAAAAAGTTCACATCAGAAGAAAAAATGTGTGCCGCCTCTTTTGTTTTTTCAATCGCCGACAACATGTAGAGGCACATCCGCCACTGCTTCAGCTGCGCTGTTCGATACAAAAGATTCCCCACAAACCCTGGGTCCACCAACGACCCTTGTGCTATTCCAGCAACAAACAACGCCACAGCCTTTTCCCACGCTCCACTTTTCGAGAGGTGTGGAATCAAAACCCCCAGCGAATACCACTCACCCATGTGAAGTTGCCGCTCCATCGCTTCTGCCACCGCCAAGGCGGATGTCCAGCTCCCATGCTTCTCGGCAAGTACCTGAGTAGCATGGGGGACATCCAACGACCAGCCCTTCTCTTCGCAGCGGCGGAGAATCGCAGGGTAGTTTCCCGGCGACAACAGGGAAGAAATAAACAATGAAGATGGCGGGCTCGGCAGGAATTCAGCAAAGTGAAGAGCACTCTGCCAGTCACCCAGACGCTGCGAAGCATGACAAAGAATCGCTACGGAACCCGGACGCACAAGAGACGCGTCATCGGCCAAACTAACCTTCCCCAAAGTTAGAACATCACTAACAAGACCTTGTCCACTTCGTTCTAGTGCATGGATGACATATTCCTCCACGGTCTCACTAAATATTCGACGCAGCAAGCCACAGCAGGCATTGACATCGCCGCCAAGCACCTCCGTGGCCAACAGCCTCGCAATTCCCCCCTTTCCCATGCAATCTCTCACACGCGTTGCCAAGCAAAAAAAAAAAAAAAAACCGATGAAAAAACAATAAAAATAAACAGAGCCAAAATTACAAGGAAACAGGGATTGTTATTTATTTATTAATAGTTTTTTAATTCTAATCTTCAGACCTTTTTTTTTTTTTCCGTCGGCCTCTTTCCCATGCTGTTTCCCGTAGCCACAGGTCAAATACCTCTTCGCTGCCTTTATTCATTTTCCTCTTTGAGATCATGTGAGTCATTGCAAATAACATCCGCACACACATATGCATTTATACCCCTCCAATTAACAGGGGCCACTCCCATTCCTCAGAATTCCGCCTCAACTTCAAATTGTTAGGCGGTCGACTCTTCTACGGCCTTATCTTCGTTCTTTGGACTCATCAGCTGCACCTCCTCCGCTGTCAGCTGCGGTACCGCCAAATTACAGCCCTCTTCCACGCGCTTCAGCGTCGCTTCCGTACCGGTTTCGTACATATTGCTCATCTCGTCTACAAACTGACGAACTGAACGGATAATAGAGTCGTTAAGAAGATTTTCTTCCTCACCCACGGACAGTCGTGTCCAGAAAGCATCCACGAGAACACTAGCAGCAAGATCCTCTGCGGCGGGCGCGCCCATCAAAGGAAATAGGCGCATAAGTGGAATAACCACATCTCTTCTCCACAGCTGACGTGCCAAATCAGGAGACGCATACATGTACTGTGACCGAAACCTAATGGCAGAAAAAAGGGTCTGTTGTTTACAAACAGCTGCGGCAATTTCCTCTGGCATGATGGTTGCGTTACTAGAGGTGTCTAACCCGCTGTGCCGTGCCCAGTACATGGAAATACCACGTAGAAAGGAGGGGTGCGTCGCAAACTTACGGTACACATGACCCCATAGGGCTCGCTTAAAATGATTCTCCGTACCCGCCTTGTTGATGCGCTCACCATAAAAACGAAAAAATGCCGTCACATCACACGGTCGTAATTTCTCAACAGATCCAACTTTGTTGTAGTCTGGTGGAATCATGCGGTTAAAAAGTTTTATCTCCCTCTTCTCCAAGGTGCCCTTGGCATCGGATCCAAGCAATTTCTCTGTGAGGTATTTAACTTTCGACTCGACAAGGTTGCGCGGAAGATAAGCCCGTCCTTTCATCTCAGCATCCTCAACCCCACACACATCTTCTTCCACCAACCGCATCATACACGTGTAGTCGTAAACTTCAAGTGGGGCATTGGGATCCAACTCGCGTCTGCATGGAACACACGCTGCCTTCTTTGCTACCTGCAGCTGCCCCACCTCATACTGCAAGCGTTCACCAATATCTGTATTACAGGCATGCAGACACTGTAGCAGCGCTGGGTCTGTCATCTTTGGAGCCTTGCCTGTATCCAAAAGTGTAAGCTGCTTGTCAATTGCCTCTTCAAACAGCTGACGTCTCACGTAGTACACATGCGAGTAGCGCAGAAGTAGCTCCAAATCACATGAGGCTAAATCAATTTCAATAAACTCATTTGCCTGCTCCTTGACGCGTTTACGGGTGCTGTACCATGCGTGCACCGGCTGCAGCTGTCGTAAAAAGCGCTCCTCAAGTGCAAGTGTGGGGTGGGTTCCTAAAAAAACACGGAATGGCGTCACAGCCAGCTCCCCACAAAGCCCTGGGCAGATAGACATTGGCTTCTCTCACACTAAGATAAAAACTCCCATCAAAATGAAGAATAGAATATTTCTTCGGTCAAAAATCATTCAGTCAGCTTTCATACCACCCAAAAGACGGTAAGACACACACACACACACACACACACACACACACACACACACAAATTGAGAACCAGAAGCATCATATTCTCCAAAATCTAACAACCAAAAACAAAATAAATAAATAAAATCAAGACAAGTAAAATAACACTACGAATTCCCCGCCCTCGCCCTTCCTTCTTTTCCCCCCTATTAAGATGCATCTGTTAATGGATTTGAATGTCTATAGAATTTATGCGCCTCGTGGTTTATTACAGCGCTTTTACCAGCTTTGGTCTTCTTCGTATTCCCCCGCTTCCTTCCTGCCCTTCTCCCTTCCCCACTTTTCTCTTTCTCCCTCTCACTTATGCATATATACCCCCATATGCATGTATGTATTCATTCACACCCATGCATACATCGGCTGGTATGCATTGCGCTAGTTTTTCTTCGATGTTTCAGATTTAATGGTAAGGAGTTTAATGATGCCTTTCATGGAATACAGCATCCGTCCGAAGATAACTTGCGATAGGGACCCCATGAAGGAAAAGGCAGCATCTGTGATTGGGTACTGGAGAATGGGCGGTATGGTCGTCTTCACACCGGGGATGCGGTCAGTCGTTGAGGCCCTAACGATGCAGTTCCCACGGAGACCTTCCATGCCGGCAAATCGATCAAACCCGCTGATCCCCACTCCACCGAACGGCAACGACTGGCAGAGGTAGTTAATGCAAAAATCGTTTACGTTTGTCATCCCTGTCCTCAATTTGGCCCCAATCCGTTTGGCGCGACTGACGTCTTTTGAAAAGACACAAGAGCCAAGACCATATTCACACGCATTCACTATTTCCACCGCTTCTTCGTCTGTGCTAAACTTCATCACGACAAGCACGGGCCCAAATACCTCTTCCTTCGCAATTGGCATCGTGGGCGTGACGTTCGTAATGATGGTCGGCGGAAAAAACCTACTGCTGGGTTTACCGCCACAAACAAGAATGGCACCTGCAGCAACGGTCTCGTCAATAAGCCTCTGAATCTTTTGAATAGAGGGTTCTCCCATGGTCATGGGCTCCCAAAGTCGTACAATCCTTGCGACGCCG